ACTTGCGTTGCGCCCAGGCCAAATACCAAGCTGCGCATGGCTTGCAATTTAGGCAAACTAAACTCCAAACCTATGACAAACATTAAAAAAACCACCCCAAATTCGGCCAAATAATGCACTGCTTGGGTGTTTTGTACCAATGCCAAAGTTCCTGGCCCTATGATGACCCCAACCACAAGATAACCCAAAATAGCAGGTAACTTCAGATAGCGACACAACACCACCCCTAGCACAGCGGCGAGCAAATACAAAAGAGCAATATCTAAGGCGCTCATTTTTTATTTATATATAAATATTTTATTTTTCAATTGGTTAATATTTTTGCAAAATGGTGTGATGTAATTTGCATTTTGTGTTGCAAGTACAAGCGATGGGCGTCGTGGCGCTGTACACCTGAGTCTAAATGCAGTTGAATGCACCCAAGATTTATGGCTTCTTCTTCCAAAGTTTTAAGCAAGGTGCGAGCGTACCCCTGCCCGCGAAATTGGGGCAAAACGACCAAGTCGTCTACATACAAAATTTTTCCCCAAGCCAAATTCTCCAAGATTCGATACCCAGCAACACCTACAATCTGATTTTGACTATTTTGCACGTATAGCAACGTATAGCCATACTCTTGCATCTGTCGCCGCACTTGTTCTACAAATACCTCCTCCTGCAAATGGGGACGCAGCTGCTGCATAGGCACAAAGCATAGTGCAATATCTCTGGTACTGTGGGCTTTGTTAATTTTGTCCATACAAGAATTATCGTTGAAATTTACCATTGTCTCTAAAGAGCCAGTCTGCGCTAAAATGTACACCAGTGAGGAGAGATGGCAGAGTGGTCGAATGCGCCGGACTCGAAATCCGGTATACGGTTTTCCCGTATCGTGGTCATCTTGTGTACGCACGACTACAGGCACTTTAGGCGCAATTTGTTTACATAGTTCTACTACTTTGATAGCACTTTGGGTATCCAAATAAGTTACTACGACCGCGCTAGCGCGTTGCACTCCTGCGGCCACCAAAGCTTGTTTGCGCGCAGCGTCTGCGTACACTACACTATGGCCTGCGGCAGCGGCTTTACGCACCCTCTCAGGGTCAGTATCGAGCGCTACATAGGCAATATTCTCCCCCTCTAGCAAACGCGCCAAATTCTGACCACACCTGCCGTAACCACAGATGATGACGTGTTCTTTGGTGTCCAAAGACTTGCGCGCAATTTGCAGCATTTGCTCTGATTGGCGCAGCCACTCGGTACCAATGACCTTCATTACCAGGCGGTCGCTGTGCATTACCATAAAAGGAGTAATCAACATAGAAATCACCATAGACGCCAGTATGGGGTTAAATAATTCAGCAGGCACCAAGCCGTTATCGCCCGCCAGGCTTAATAAAACCAAACCGAATTCTCCCGCTTGCGCCAAATATAAACCCGAACGCAGGGCCACACCAGCGCTAGCGCGCCACATCCAGGCTATGAGGGATATGAGCGTGAGTTTAAGCGCTATGGATAAAAGCAAAAACAAGAGCACGAGTGCCCAATGCTCCATCACAATACGCCACTCCAGGCGCATACCTATGGTGATAAAAAATAAGCCCAATAGCACATCATGAAACGGGCGAATATCTGCCTCCACTTGGTGTTTGTATTCGGTTTCTGAAATGAGCATCCCCGCTACAAATGCACCCAATGCTAAAGACAAACCTGCATGTTCTGTAAGCCACGACAGACCCAGTGTAATTAAAAGAATATTCAAAATGAATAGCTCTTCACTTTTGCGTTTGGCCACCAACGTAAGCCACCAGCGCATCAGTTTTTGCCCCCCAGTGAGCAAGAGCGTTAATAAAACCGCTGCTTTTAGCGTAGCCCAGAGTAAAGAAGTGCCAAGATTATCACCATCAGAGCCCAAAGCAGGTATCAACACCAATAGCGGCACCACCGCCAAGTCTTGAAACAACAATATACCCACCACGCGCTTGCCATGTTCGCTCTCAAGCTCCAAGCGATCTGAAAGCAGCTTAATGACTATCGCCGTACTGCTCATAGCCATGACACCACCCAAAGCCAATGCCACTCTCCAAGAAATGTTCCACGTCTGCGGCAAGATGTAAGCTAGCACAATAGTACCCAAAGCTGTAATCCCAATAGTGAGCAACACTTGCGTTGCGCCCAGGCCAAATACCAAGCTGCGCATGGCTTGCAATTTAGGCAAACTAAACTCCAAACCTATGACAAACATTAAAAAAACCACCCCAAATTCGGCCAAATAATGCACTGCTTGGG